CAAGGTGCAGGCAGAGCAGGTCCTGTGTGAGGCTCTCCAGCAGATGGCCCTCAGCGGTGCACTGTCCCTGTCAGGTAGCCTGATGCTGGCCCCACTCCCTACCGGGTGCTGCATGGCGCCTGGTCTCAGCTCTGTGTTCTTCTGTGCAGTGTGATGTGTGATGGGGAGGCCCAGCCATAGTCTACCTTCGCAGAAAGGTGCTGGTGTTTGGGAGGTCCCAGAGACCGTCCCTGCCACTGGGAAAGGGTTGCAGAGCCCTTCCTGTCTGAGGACACCTGGCTTTAGCAGCAGCTGCACTGGGGAAGGCGTCCACCCATGTGCCCTTGGAGGGTGAACTCGTCTCCCTCCCCTTTCATGCCCCACAAGCAGCGGGGTATGGGCAGACAGTTTGTGGTTTTGCTGCCCTTGAGCTTGGAACCCAGGCAAGCTGAACACAGTTCATCCTTCTGCAGGGACTTAATTAACCCACTGATTTTACCATTTCAATTACAGTCTGCCAGTTTAACCCCCCCCCCCCCCCGCCCCCGCCCCGTACTTTGAAATCACTCTTTTCAGAAGATATGTGATCATGCCTTAGCCCTGGCGGGCAGTGCTGGCACTGCTTCTGAGCTAGCCTCCTTGTGCTCTCTGCAGGGAGGCCAGGATGGCAGGGAGGCCGGCCTCCTTTGAAGGCCGCAGCTCCTGCCCCCTGCAGTCTTTGCCCTGGAAAACACTTTAAACTCCCCGGCCCACTCCCCATCGCTGGAAGGGCCTCTGTGGAGGGACTGTGTGTTGTTAGCTGGGTTTTGATTTCAGTACTGGAGTTGATAAAACGAGATAAACCCCAGGCTCACTGAGGCTGTGGAAATTAAACAGAGATGATATCAAAGTTCCCCTGAGTTTTCAGCTGTGCTACACACAGTAGCCTCACTTTCTCCCTGGCTGGAGCTGGAGGCAGCCTTTGATTCTGAAACAATGGGCAACATCAGTTAAGCCCAGAACTGCTGGCTTTGGGGGATTAAGTGCATGGCTGTGGTAATTCTTTGATCAGCTACAAGGGAGCAGTGTGGCGGCTGGCCACCACACTGTGAAGGGGCTTCATAGTTAAAGCTCATTTCTCTGTGAACCTGGGATGACAGTGTTGTTGAGGTGCTGCCCTGTGGGGGACCAAACCTCCTCCTGGCCAGTCCTCCTTTGTGAATGCAGCTAGCATGGTGTGGAGGGGGAAAGACCCCCTCTCACCTGTGTGTGCCTGCACACACTCTTGCCTGGAGCAGGGCTCTGCAGCCCTCAGCCTGAGAATGATCCAGCAGAGGCCCGTGCCCCCCCTCAGGAAAAGTCACTGGGGACTGACATCTGATATCCTGGAAGGTCACATCAGAACAGCTCAAGGTCACTGTGACTCTCAAGTGCCCGACACTGTGCTTCCTTACCTGGCCTGTGTTGAGAACCCACTGGGCCCAGTGTCTGTTACCTAGCTGCCCCAATAGGGTGTCCACTCTGGCTTCCCCTGTGGACACCTTCCTGCGGCTGCAGCTGCCTCTCTCCCGACTTCCTTCCTCCAGGTCGGCCCTGATGCTCGTGTTTGGTAATGGAGCCCCTGTGTGCTGTGGATCCTGCACACGCCAGCCCATAGATCATCCCATTCCCTCCTGTGCCGAGCTCAGATCTCCCTCATTAGGCCTGAATTTACCTCTGTCCTACACAAACATGGCCTTAGCTCATTTTTATTGTTGTAAATTATTTATGAGGGGAATGTTGAATCTCGAAACTGAGGTGTGAGGGAAATTAATCCCATGCTACTTTTATCTTTCTGTACTCTTCCCCTTTACTTGACTTACTGAGCTATGGCCAGGGAAAGAGGCACTTTGGCGTTTTAAAATATAATTAGTGTTGAAACTGCTTTCCCATTTGGGCAGGATGTTGGTCTCTGTGTGCCGTGAAACAGAGCACAGGCTAGCCTGAGGACTGCCAGCTGCCAGGGTCTGGGAACAAGCCTCAGTTTCCCTTATACAACATAAGGCTAGCTTGGTGGGCCCTCCTGCTCCGAGGTGAGTTTCAGCTGACTTGCAGAGTTCTGTACAGACTTAACGGGGTGTGTTCACGTGGCTGAGGAGCCACTAAGGGGGAACCAGAGTTGCTGTGGGAAGGCCTTTTGTATTTCACCCAGTCACCTCCTGCCTGGCAGGTCAATGATGGTCTTAAACACCTGCTCCCTAGCTCTCCCTCCGGGCCCTCTATTAGGCTCCCATTCATGGCCCCTCTCACTCCTGGCAGAGGCCTGGCCCACGACCCTGGATGGCAGGGTCCTGTTCTGCTCCTGTGCCTTCCCTGGGAGCTGGAGGCTCCAAGCAGCCTGAGGAAACATGGAGAGCAAGTTAATAAATGGCCTTTTGTTAGGAAGGTCAATTGAAGTGCCGGTCGAGATGCTGTTAGAAGTCATTTGCAGTCAGAAAATATGTAATTCAGGGCAAGCCACTTTGAGCGATGGCCTCTGCCATGGATATCTTGGGCGTTTCTCATTAAGAGGCTCCTTGGCTGGTGGCGGCCATGCCCCACCGCTAAGTGGGCCTCAGCCCCTGGAACAGCCATTTGTCTCCGAGGCACAAAGGCTGCCTTGATCCCCAGGGCACAGCAACTCAGCAACCGGGGGAGAGAAGCGGGGAGAGCATGGAGATGACTGCTGGCTGCATGGAGACCTGCCGTGGGCTGGCCAGGCTGGTCTCCGGAGCTCTGAGGCCCCGCTCATTGTCTGCTTCAGCTGGAGGTTGCCTGCCTGCAGCCATCTTGGAAACTGCGTCTGGGTGCCTCCCCAGGTGCATTGTGGGAGCAGTACCTTCCCCTTGTGAGCACACTCTCCCTCACCCTGTCATCATGCCTTGTGGAGTGCGTTGCCATCCCAGACCATGTGTCTCCCAGCCAATGAGATATTCCCTGTGTGTGCTCACTTAATCTCTCCCTGCCTCCTCCCTTTCCCATCCTCTCCTTCTTCCTTTCCTTCCCTTTTCTGCTTTTCGTTCCCATCCCTTTCCCTTTGATAGTAAAGGCAGTAGTCTTCAAACAATATTTTGTTGTTTCACATGTCCTTTATTAAACTCACAGCGTGATATTTAACACTGGCAGGATTTGTACATTCTGCTAATGAGTTGTTAATTGCAAAGCATTTTTGGTAACCAACAGCAGGTACCAATATTTTGCAAACTGCAGCCGTGTGTGGTTTTTATGTTCCCATAATACAGACTTTTTCAGGGGCAGAGCATTTTGTTTAGAGAGCTGCTCTGGATTGGGCAGGTGCAGGAGTTTAACCCTAAACCCATATTGGGGTCACACGTGTGGAGTCACTCGGTGATATTTGCTTAATACCTACTGGGTGTAAGAGCACTAAGCCCCGCCTGTTACAGATAAAACCTGCTAGAAAATGAAAATCGAAACTAGGAAAGGGTAGAGTGGTGTGGCATGGTTGCCACCTCCTGCCCCGGGTTGTTGGAAGCTTATTTTTGGTATAAGCAAATAAAATATAACTCTGTAACTTGGCTGAGAGGGCAGGGGTTCCAGGCACGACGAAGCCCTATCCAGAAACAAGTCTGTTTCTGGGGTGCTTTGTGGGTTCTGCTGACTAAATGGGTGACCTGTGTGTAGCATTTTGGTGGTTCCTGTGAGGTAGGCTACAGCATTTTGAGCGGCCAGTGCCTTTTGATAACAAGCTGAGGAGCAGGAACTTGCCCCCTGCTGCCTCTTTGGGCAGGATGTTTGGTTTGCTTTTGAAACTGTAGCCAGCCTTGAGAGCGCCGCAGCCAGCGGGCTTAATTGCTGCAGAGAGGTGGGATTTGTTTGTTCTTTTTCCACAGCTTGCCCAGTAACAGTACTCTGTATCAGGTGTTGCTGTTTTTGTTTGGTGTCTGGGGCACTGCCACCCCAGCCTCCAGGTCCACTGCTCCCCACACTTCATCAGCCTCCTCCACTGGTCCTGTGGAGAAGCACTGAGCAGCAGTATAGTAATTCCATGTTCCTTCTTTTCATCCCAGTGACCAGTGAGAATTAGGATCACTGTTAGTGCTTAGCTTTGAGGAAGTGCCACTTGACCCGGGGGCGGTTACTAGACAAAGAAATGGGCCAGACCCCTAGTGAATGGTGCCTCCCATTGCTGCCCAAGCCAGAACCCATGTGCTCTTAAGCCCTTCAGTCCACCTGCTTTTTTTCTGGGTGCCTACTGTGTGTCCAGGACCGCTCTGGGCCCTTCTTTTATATCCTCTCTCTTAGTTTTTGCAACAGATGGGGAGTGAATCAAGACCTCATTTTACAGTTGAGAGAAAGCTGGGTGGGGCTCTCCAAGGCTTAATTCCTTGTTCAGACACTAACTTGTAAGTGTGGCATCCAGAGCCCGGTGCCTCCTGTGCCCATGCCCCAAATGCCTTCTCTGTTTTAGGTGCTTGCTGAGTTCTCTGCTCAATGTCTAGCCATGGTGTGGCTAGACTGTATGTCTGGGATCCTAGCTCCATGTGGGAGCATTGTATGAGGGACAGAAGTTGCTCTGAGACTTCACAAGGGGAGCCCCTCCAGTATTGGTCCCTGTTCAGAAATCAGGCATTTGGGAGCAGAGTTAAGAACAATGTGGGGCTGGGCAGGTATCTCAGTGGGTAGCATGCTTGTCTAGCCTACATAAAGCCCTGGGTTTCATTCCTAGTACCATATAAAACTAGATGTACACACCTTTAATATGAACACTTGGAGCTGGAGGCAGGAGGACAGGAGTTCGAGACCACCCTGGAACATAGGGCAATGTGCTTTTGGGTTTGAGTTGAAATTACCTCCTGAGAGTAGACAGGAGCCCTCAGCATTCCATGCTAACAGCTTGAGGTGTGTCGGGGTGAATTCTTTATCGGAGTTCGGGGTCTGATAAGGCCAGGTGAGGAATGCAGCGCACAGCTGAGGATAGCTGCCCCGGATTCTCTGTCTCTGAGCTCTCCCTCGTTCACATTAAACAGAGTTTGAATTTTGTGCTGTTTCCTTTTCCAAACCAGGACCACGCCACCATGCCTGAAGTCAAAGAGCTTTCAGAAGCCTTGCCAGAGACGCCAATGGACCCCATCACCGGAGTCGGGGTGGTGGCTTCCCGGAACCGAGCCCCGACGGGCTATGATGTGGTAAGACACAATGTCAGCTTGTCGGTTCTGCCCTGTGTGGAAGATGTGCTTGTCTCTCAGAACTGGAATGACCAAAAGAGGAAGGTCACAGCCAGAGGAGGTGGCCAGGAGTCAGAGGGCCTTCTGAGGTCATGGAGTGCGAGGATGATTTCCTGGCTTTGGCCATAACTGGCTTTTGGTCATTTTTCACCTTTTAATTAAATCCACTGATTTCCAAAGTCACCTCTAGTTTTGATGGTTCATGGAAAGGATTTAGGAAAGATCGTGGGGGTTGTCTTGTATTGTGTCAGGAGTGTGAGTGTTCTGAGTGTGTTGTCTTGTCCATAGCCAGAACCTTACAGTGATTAGCTTCTGTGCAGGCGGGAGCCCTGAGTCATGGCTCCCCAGTGTCGGGTCCAGTAATCGGGTAACTCCTGGTCATGGGGCTGTCCTGTGCCTCAGTCTGTGTGCAGCACCCCTGACCTCTACTTAGTTGAAGTGAAGAACACCCCAGATGTTTCTAGATGTTCCCCGGGGAAGGGTGGGTGGGCAAAATCAGTCCCTTTGAGAACCTCTCTGGTCAGTCTGCATCAGGTCCTTGCTGCAGAAAGAGGAGCCCATTAAAAACAGTAACAAAAACCCCAACAAAGCAAAAACTCTCCTTCCCAAGTGAGTGTCGAGAAGCTCGGGAAGAGCTTTTTGACAAAAATATGCGTCTGGCCGGCCCCTGTCTTCAAAGCCCAGTTGGAATGTCTAACTTTCCATAAAATAGAATCATTAGGTATGGCTTTGTGCCATGAAACTCTTGGGAAGCTAATAAAAATGCTCCTGATTTGAGAAGCCGAAGTGTGCTTTGATAGATTGGGTGTGAGATGGCACATCGTGCATCACACAGGCCTGGGAGCTCCTGGCCTGCTTGTGGGCCGCCCAGGGTCCCCTTGCACGGTTTGCAGGAGGCTCAAGCCCCGGGCCTGGGTCTCACATCTTCCTGTTCGTCTCTGTCCATCAGTATCTGTAGCGTTCTGGCTGCACCTTTGGGGTCACTCGGACCACTTGGCTAGTGGGCGGCAGATGGCCTTTGATGGTTTGGCTTTCTGAAAGTCTCTGGAAACCTGACAGGGGCACAATCCATCCCTATCATTTTCTTCCGACATCTAGCTTAGGGCAGGAGAACGTGGTGTCAAATGAGTGAAATTAATAAGCACATTTCACCATCATGCCGCACCATGCATTTTAGTGGAAGGTGAGCAGGGCAAGAGGCCTGAGCTAGCTCGCCTGTAATTACCCAGCCTGCACATGGCCCTAGGCTCCTCTAAGAGCTTTCTGGGAGAGGGGTGGGAGTCCTCTCTTCCTCTGGCCTCTAGCCTCTTCTGAGATAAACATCTCATTCCCAAGAGCCCTGAGTTCAAGGGGAAAGGTGGAGAAGGCAGGATGAGAGGAGCCGCTTCCCTCTCTGTTCATCTGGAGCTCCATATTAAGTCAGCAGAAGTGCAGGGATGTTTGGGGAGGCTCCAAGAACTGACCAGAGGCTGAGGAAGCCTGTGGCAGCTGGAGGCTAGACCACTCCCGCTGGGTGTACAGTCTGTCTAGGATTAACCCCTCCCTCCCTCACACCGTGAGATACTCTGACCAGCTTCCTGCCATTACTCACCAGAGGTGCTGCAGGCCCCGAGCTGCAGCTTGCCATGACAGGCTTTCCAGGTACTGCTGTTGCTTGAAGCTAAAAATGCCGAAAGTTCATTTATAAAAATGTAATTGAATGACTTCCCTTCTCTGGATGGACTAGGGGGCTGGAGGTCATTTGCTAACGGTCTCAGTTCATTGTCCCCATTCTGCAGTCTTCTGTGAACAGCCTCCCGTTTCTGTCCTTGAGTGACAGGCTGATGGGACCTGCTCTCAGATTGGACTGGGTCTCAGGAAAGTGTAGGAAAGGCTCAGAAGCAAGACTCGGGGCTGGAGTGAGAGAGAGGTGGAGTGAGAGAGGTGGGTGTGGATGTCTCTGAGGAACAGAGTGGGGGAGTGGGGGCTGGACCTGGAATAAAGGCGGGCAGGTGCCAAGCTGGCCTCGACACAAATCGGGAGGATCCCAGGGTAAGAGAGGGAGCATGTGGGCAGGGCCTGGCTGGTGGGGTCCCCATTGCTTGGCTCTTACACCTTCCTGCTCCTGTGTGCTGAGAAGCCAGCCTTGGGGGGTGGCCTCCATGGGCAGCATGTGACTTGCCCACCCCCCGCTTCCTTCTCCCCGCTTCCCATCTCCCTTCCTTTCCATAGTGTTGAAGCTAATTAGGCGACAAAACATTTCTTCAAAACTGCTGGTCTTGCATAATTTATAGATGCCCAACATGTCCCAGGCCCTGTCTTCGGAATCACTGGAGCTGCCAATGTCTGAAGCATCAGATGTAGGTGCTGTGTGTACACTGAGACAAATCGACTCTCCTCTGGGCAGTGGGTTGGGTTTAGGGAGCAAAAGGACCCACAGGCTCAAAATTGGAAACCTACAAATGAAGGGTCAGTTGTCACCAAAGCAGGAAGAAAAAAGAAAGAAAGAGAAACACAAAACACAAAACCATCTGTTCAGCGCTGAAGCAGGGTCAAGAAAGCTTGTGTGTTTTCATAATGCTCAAGGAATCAAAACCCTCAGGAGGAGGGGTGCGAGCTCTTGCCTGAAGCATGTGGTAGACATTAAGAGTGAGCCACAGTTGTCCCTCCGTACTGACTGGAGCTGGCACTCAGGTCTCTAGAAAGGCCAGGTGTGGTAGGAGGCCCCTGACCCTCATGGCCAGAGGACAGTTGACCTCTGACCCACAGGTGCTCCACTTCCTGTGCCACACTGTAGCGGGCGAGCGATAAGGGACGTCTTACCCCTGTGGGCCCCTGTCCCCCTCAGCATGGCCCTGCCACAAGGGACTGCTCCTGAGCAAAGAAATGGGGACTTGGAGGTCCCCATACCCCACAGCCCCTCATCAGAGGCTGGTTTCTTTTCAGATCTGAGCTTGCTTTGATAAAGGTAACAGGTGTTCCTCTTTGTTGTTTTGATAGAAAATACTTTAAATCGGGCTGGAGAGATGGCTCAGAGGTTAAGAGCACCGACTGCTGTTCCAGAGGTCCTGAGTTCAATTCCCAGCAACCACATGGTGGCTCACAACCATCTGTAATGAGATCTGGCGCCCTCTTCTGTATGCATAATAAATAAATAAATCTTTAAAAAAAGAGAATACTTTAAACCAGATTCACTGAAAACATGGCAGGTGGTTTTGTGAGCAGCCCTTGGGCCCTGGTTTCCTGTGGCTTGAATCTGGCAAACTTCTGTGAACTGTCTGAGGACAGACCTGCACTTGGGAGAACACACTTGGCGCTTGGTGGAGTGAGTGTAGTGACCGGTTGTGCAAGAGGCCAGCAAGGCTGCCTCAGGAAGTCTGTCAGAAACTGTGGCTTCCTGTGGCAGCTGGGGAGGAGCCGTTTTCTCTTTTGGCCTCCCCTGCCCCCAGCCCTACACTTCCAGGGTTGACCAAAGGCTCACTCAGACAATGGGGGAGCAGTGGTTTGATACTTCCTTCTGCTCACAGAAGTGTCTGCTTCACTTTGCTAAGACTCATAAAAAATAAAGCCTCAATTATTAGGATTGACAGAGAAGTTAGTTTTTCTTTTTTGAATTTGAAATTTGCTTTGAGGTAATTCTGGATTTGTATGCACTTTAAGAACTAAAGCCACACTCTCAGCCTGTTGTCCAGGATCAAGTGGAGAGAGAGCACAGAGGTGCAGTGTTTGGAAACTCTAACACAGTTTCAGAACCAGGACTCCGAGTTTAATCAAGTGACGTGTGATCAGGGATTAGTAGATTGCTCTTGAAAAGATGGTTTCGGCTCATGGTTCCCAAGAGGAATAGGCATGTCCTGCTGCTGGCAGGGCCTGGTGGGGAAGTGCCAAGGTGGAGAGGGCCTGGAGAGCAAAGGCAGCATGGGTGAGCGTGCAGCTTCTGTGGGCAAGGCCTGCAGCCTGTCTAGTGTAATGGTTGTGGGCTCTGGGCCACAGGGGGAGTGTCTGGTTGGCAGGTAGCTGATGTCTGGGGTGGCGGGAGCCTGATGCATGGGATCTGTGCCGCCTAGTTTTTGTCACCTTGACATAAACCAGAGTCACCGGGGAAGAGGGACTCTCAATTGAGGAATTGCCTCCATATAGACTGGCCTGTAGGCACATCTGTGGGACATTTCCTCTTCCTTTTTTAAATGTTTATTATTTTTGGTCATGTGTATGTGGCTGAGACAGAATGAATTTATGTGCTGTCGGTGGAGGCCAGAGGGCATCCTGAGTTACAGCTGGTTGTGAGCTACCTGCATGTGGGTGCTGGGAAGTGAGCCTGGGTCCTTGACAAGATCATTGCAAGGTGCCCTTAACCACTGAGACTTCTTTCCGTCCTGGGGGGTGAGCATATTCATTCTCATTCTCTCTCTCTTTCTGTCTCTCTCTGTCAAAAATGTTTGTTTAGTTTATGTGTATGGGCATTTTGCCTGCATGCAGGTCTGTGCACCAGGAGACCAGAGGATGGTGTTGGATCCCTGGAGCTGGAGTTATAGATGTTGTGAATCACCATGTGGGTTCTGGGAATTGAATCCAGAGTATTCTAGAAGAGCAGCCCCCAGTGCTTTTAACCACTGAGTCACATCTGTCAAGCCCTCCGTGGGGCATTTTCTTGATTAATGATTGATGTGAGAGGGCTCAGCCCACTGTGGGAGGTGTGACCCCTAGGCAAGTGACCTTGCGGTCTATTAGAAAGCAGGCCGAGCTATCAATGGAGAGAAGCCAGTAAGCTGTGTTCCTCCTTGGTCTCTGCTTCAGCTCCTGCCTCCAGGTTCCTGCTTCTGGCTCCTGCCTTGGCTTCCCTAGTTGATGGACTATTGCCTAGAAGTGTAAGATGAAATTGATTAATAATAATTGTTGTGGGAGGGCCCAGCCCACTGTGGGCAGTATCACTCCCAGGCATGTGGTCCAAGGTTTTGTTTTTGTTTGTTTTTGTTTTTCGA